TAAAAAACTTTTCTAATTCCCGAATAATTTTGAACCCGACCTGCTGTTACACTTGCATACAGGGTTTCAAAACTACAAGCTGTATGTTTTCCGTGTACGGAAAACCATGCATTTCTCTACGGTGTGAAGAGGTGACCATATGAGTTTCATAAAATTAAGCGATGGATTTGAGCAATATTGTTAACTTTACAATCCTCATTCGTAAATGCAGATACATGACGTTTCATAAACGGCCATTTAACGGTATTAAAATCTTCTTCTTTTGAGTATGAAATTGGAAGAAGACGTGATTTTCTACCGAATAAGTAAAAGAATGAATTTTTTTATATATGTTTTCCATGAAATATAATTGAATTTTCAAGGGCTTCGAAAATCAACGAGAAAATTGCATGCAATTTAAGTAGTCATTTTTTGCAGAGTATAGATCTTGTATGCCGAAAATAAGTTCTTTCGAAAGCCGACACCCTGAGTTAACTGTATCATTATAGATTTATGCTGGATCATGATTAGTTTTACAACACTACTTAATTTATCTTTTCGAAACGAGAAAGCATTTCGAAATTTTGTTTGACATTTCATGAGTTAGCACATCTACTGTACCGCAGACGACTGGACCAGTTGTATGCAGTAGCGTACGCAACACAAGGCGAGCTTTGGCGTAGGAGCATACAATGACTAAAATTCACAGGATCACGAATTGTGCATCACTATTTGTTTGCTGAAGGCTTCGACCATCAGGGACAACGGATTTGCAGGGCTGAAGTGCCCATGTCTCCAGTGCGGTCGGCGCGTTGAGAATGGCCTTATAATTTTGGCCTTGGCTATCCATTTTATCGGACGTTATAATGAACTACTTTAGGGCTAAAATTTGTCCGCTCTAGAAACTGCACATTTTTATGCAAAAACAGATGATCATATGATTTTGAGACATACTGCAAAGCAGAAGAACGTTGTAGATGTCAATTCCGGCCGCCTGCGTCCGCGCGACCTGGGTGTCCGCTCGCAAAGCCGCGGCATGCAAACAAATAATCATTAATCGATAAGTTACTGACGCACGCTGGGAAGAACGTTACGGTCTTCTCTAACTCGTTTGCGGGGCTAATCATTCAGTCAGAGACAATTCGGCGCCGCTTGTCGTCCGAACCGAGCCGGTGCACCCCTGTGTCAGTCAGAGAGTGTTTTCTGGGGGTCTTAAAAACAGAAAACCGTAGCCTGACGCGCCCTCTAACGTGCCGCTAGATGCATCCGCATATTTCGACTTAGTTCACTATCAACGTTGCCTACAACAGAGAACGTGAACTTGGAAGAGAACATGTCACCTCTTATGGTCGCTATTGTGATTCTAAACTTTCTTTCGCTCTAGTTTAAATGACAATTCACTCCGCATGTTAGTTCTAGTTAGTAATTCCTATTCGGTAGAAGTTCGTGGATTAAAATGGGCATAGTCCCTACCAGGGAAAATTCTTCGGCCCCTTTTAGCCAGAAATATCGACAAAAGGATACGGCAGTTTAGCGTACACGTTAAATTTAATGTAATGCTACAATACAGGAATGATAAACTGGTAGCGGCAGGTTCTACATTTGATGACGGAATCCACCACAGATCGCCTCACACTCCTCCTTCGTCTCGAAGCGATTATAATTGCCACCGCAGCCGCCATACACGAATTTCACACAGGCACCCAACTGAGGATTGAAGGCATACATTTGCATCCGCGCTCTGCACCTGCCGGTCAGGATAGGCATGTAGCAGGGGTGCACCCATCCTGAAGAGGAGAAAGAATGCGTGAGGTGGGTAAGGATTAAACTCAGATCTCCATTCAGCATTTGTGCACTAGTTCCTGAGTGGAAGATAGAGCGGAATAACAGGCTGGCCGGCGGGCACAAGTGCGTAGTTGGGGCGTCTCAGACGGGGACGCTTGGAAATGTTGGACGTAATGTAATGAGAGGGAGGGGAGGAAGTGAAGGCCTTTCAGGTTTTGCCTCAAAACAAACAGGGTTAAATGATGGCTGTCCCTTCAGTTATGCTGCCGCCTTATGTGCCACTAGTGTGGACTGGCAGTGAGACGCAATGCAAATGCTGAGTTGCGTTCACAGTAGAATGCTCGTCACCGCTGGCCAATAGAATGACGACGGTCCAGTTAGTAGCACTCACGAATGCTTAGACCGGTGCAACTGATGGATTTTTTGACGAGGGGGAGATTAAGGCGTTGCGTGCGTGAGGCGGGTTAGGGCTGAACGCTGCTCCACCACTTTAACAGTTTCTAAGGAGACGTTGCGGCGTCTCCTCCGGGTACGCATAAACATGTCTGGCATAACGTCATGCAGACCAACTATGAGGTTAAATAACCGTAAACTAGTGACCGAATCTGTGAATTTAAGGCTGCGCGAGGTGATGTTGGGGGGTTCGCTCCAGAAAATTAAGTGCACAACTCACCCTCAACTGTTACCACGGAGAGAAGGCAGGCGGCGAATAGAAGAGCAATCATCGCGTAGAAGTGATGTCTGCGCCAGCCGTTTATGGACATATATTTATAGAAATTTTTACTGGGCCTCTGAGACGACAATTTGCCATAAACTACAATGCAGGAAGTAATTTGCGGACAGGGGGGAGGGACGCGCAGTCGTTGCGCAACGCCGGACAGCATAATCGTTGGCCGCTGATCGTCCTGCTAGAATATGCTGAGGCGCGTGTGGGAAATTTTCGAGAACGGAACTGTCCCTCCTCGGCGATGACATTTACGGTGCGGTAAAGTATGCCAAAATTGACTGAGTTCTCACTCACCCAACTGAGGGAGCTCAGAGCCGGTCTGGACGTAATCCCCTTTAACTGTCGTGAACCGTGGCTCCCTCGACTTGCAAAAGCACAATCGGCTGCATTTCTCTGTCAAGAACCATGACGGACGAAGGACGTGGGGCAGAAAGAATCACTTCCGGCCCAATTATGGTTGTGGACGGGCCATATTTGATGCTTGAACTTAACGTCCCAATAGTTGCCGCACAGAACGACCACCTATGGGATCCAGTCGAAGTTGTGTCACAAGGGTATCCACCGATCTGTTATCTAGCACGGGTGTTGGGGATCATGCCCCAGGGGTTGTGGATCTCGGGGCTGGGTATGACTGGCCGACGGCAGCTAATAAGTAAAAAATGTCTTTGTCGGTAATGCCATTCTGCCTGTAATACTGGCCGCTGAGCGGCTGTCGGCGAGACTCGATATTGAGCCGAAAAGAACAACGGAACCAGGGAGTCCCATAACGCACTCAGGGGGGTGCCCATCTACCATTGCTAGTATGAAACATCTCAAACGGCAGCACAATGAGCCCGTGGCTCAATGGTTAGGGTATTGGACCTTAACCAGCAGCCCGGATGATCGAGCCCAGGGGGTTGGCCAAAATGGTGAAGTGCGCATTCGATTAGAATGGATCGCGTAGACATATTTTTAATATTAATTTAGCAATCATATTCCAGGCACAGCAATATGTTGGCGTTTGGGCGCAGTTCTTTTCAGCCATTTAAAAACCGCACTCAACATGCAATATATTTGCTGATTCTAGATGTCCTTATATATTCAGAAATATTTTGCAAAAGGCAGGAACAAAATATCCTTTCTTGTAATTTTTTAACAGTAACTCTTGTCTTGTTCAACATTTATATTCTAATAAGGACACTTTTCCTTTTTTAAACATTTCTGAGGTTAAGAATAATTTTGAGCTCTATCTGCCGTTTCATTTGCGTTTAGGGTTTCTAGCCTACTGACTTCATAATTTCCACGTAATTAAAAACATTCATTCCTCTACTCCACCAAGTAGATGTCAAATAGGGCTCATAAAATTATTCACAAAATGTGGACTTTGTTGCCTACTTCACGAGGAGCAGTATTGAACAGATAGATACAATGCCATTTAAATAGACATTACACGACCTTGAAAATCTCGCAATTGAAAATTCATTTAAAATCGAAAGATGGTCCTACTTCGAGTGAAAAATTTGAAGAAAGCGTAATTTACCGCCAAAGGAATACATAGAGAATAGTGTTATATATGCTTCTTATACAATATTACTTAATTCATAAACCTATTCAAAAGCCAACAGACAGGTAACAAGATAATAAATTTTACAACCTCACTTAAGTAGTCCTTCTTAGATTACAGCGCATTTCATGGCATCAGTCACGGTCTGTTTAAGGACCTAACTCCAATTTGTGTCCTGAAACCAGGATGGATCAGTTGGACAAATCTCAATTTACGTTGTGTGCTTGGGGTTCAGGCGTCTGGCTATCAAAATTTGGCATTGGATATCATAAGTTGGCCGCGCCTGATAAGAGATAGGTGGCCGTAATTATCGCTTCTGCCTCTCAGTTTCTACCCAGTGCTACTGAACAGATATTAGTAACGGTTCATATTCACTGGTCCTGGAGGAATTAAGGGAAAATGCTCCGATCCGCAAGGATGCATTGGTTCCCATAAGGATTACACAGAGGGCCAGAGACCGTCCTTTCAAGGGTACCGATCTCTCAGTTGCAGGGTCTGGATTTGAGCACGTCTGACTGATGACGTCTCCTAAGTCAGAAATTGCCATTTCAGTCTACCGGTTCCGTTTTCGTAACACTTTTGATTATTGCTCAGCTGTAGTCATTAGAGCGTTTGCAAGAGCTCTGCACTCGGCCTATCATGAGGAACTGAATCCAAATTTTGTTATGAAACCAGGATAAATCGGTGTGTTTCATGCTCACTTTGCGTTGCGTACTCGGAATTGCAGCCGCCAAAGCATGAATCCCAATAGTCAGATTGTTCGGCCGAAACGTTGCGTGACCTCCCTGACTGGACCTTCTGTCCACGGGTGATCCACTGGTTGGACTTAGGTTGTGACTGACTCCAGCGACCATGCGTGCAACACTCCTTTGTTATGTTGCAACCGACAGTTCGACTGTCACATCCAACAATGCCCATCGTGAACTTCACAGCAAGGAGAAGCACGCACGACGACCCATGCGTGAGTTAGTTCATGTTGGTAGTAGACTTGCAAGGCATCTGCCATATTCCCTCCTCTTCCTTCTCCTTCTTCTTCTTCTTCTTCTTCTTCTTCTTCTTCTTCTTCTTCTCCTCCTTCTTCTTCTTCTTCTCCTCCTCCTCCTCCTCCGCCGCCGCCAACTGAACCCGGTGTGAAGGGAGAGTCAAGAAGACCAGAGGCAGGGAGGGCGCAGGTAGATGGAAAGCACGAGCCCACACTTTGACGCTATACTTTAAACCCCCCCTGGTCAACACATCAAATGAAAATGATTTTAACCCCCACCTTCTCCTCCCCCACCTGGACCCAGTGTCAAGATAAATTCAAGAAGACCGGGGGCGGGGAGGACACAGGTGGATGGTGCGGTTGAGCCCGCACCTTGATATTCCACTTCAAACCCCTGGTTCACCCAGGAAATAACCAGGATTATAACCGGAAACACGAATGACGGTTGGAGGGGCCGGCGGCAGGCGTCCCGATCTCTGCCGTCAACTGGGTTTGCCACCACACCTCCTAGATGCTTACATGTGTTTTGTTTTCTAAAACGCCTGTCCGAATCCCATATGGCCCCCATGTGTTAGCCCAGCGCATCTACCGCGTGGCTCGATGGAGCAAGGGAGCACTATTCCGTAACCACCTTAGCACACAACCTCACCTCCCCCCCCCAACTCTCCACCATGATTAAGAGATGAATATTAAACTTCCTCGACTAGCCTGTGACGCATGTATGCCCATGGCCGTAAATGAAAGAAACCAAAACGCTGACTCATAGTGGCTGGAAGCGTCCTTTTCCAGCTCTTCTAAGACCAACTCTGCAACTGGGCTGGATATCGGGGAGCCCGTCGGCGTTCCTTTGATCTCTTATAATGTTTTGCTATTAAAGGGAAATTAGATTCGGCGCCGAGTATGAGACCAGGGGATCGTTGCGCTTGTTAATGGACGACGAATCTGAGAACCTTGAATCGAACAGTTTGCGGCTCACGTGGTTGTCACCCCTTGCGAGGACAACGAGTCCCGTCGAATGAGCCGTCGCGTGAGATCTAGCTACTTCCCAACTCACCGCTGCTGCTTACTCAGCCATCCGCGTCCAGAGAAATGCCCCAGTTTCTCCGGCTTAAGTGCTCTGTTCACAACTGCGCCAGATCCGGTAAACGACTCTACACGTTTCCTACCGTGGCAGTGAGTCTTTCGGCCTCATGACCCGGCGCCTGATGGTTGCTTCTAGCCTACGTGCAATCTCAACTGCAAATAGAGTGAGAAGACGGCTGACGGCCTCCGAGACGTACTTCACTTACGGAAGAGCTCGCCAAAATTTAGGGTCAATCGCACTTTGTCTCCGTAGTATCATTTGCGCATGTGCTGTTTGGTTAAGTTGCTTGGGTAGCCATTAGCTCTCAGTATTGCAATCCGTCTCACTGCAGAGCGTCTCAATGCGCCGTTATAGCATCCTTACACAACTGCGTTTGTGACCGATCGGGAGGTTAGTGTTGGAGTTCAGTGCCTGCGCCGTATATGTCGCCTTCCTGAACACTTTGGTTTTAGGTCACCAAAATCTGTGCGGCAGACGAGGACATCTTGAAAAGCCAGCTGGTTATTTTACTCCTTCTCCATTTTAAATTGAATGTGTAGGAAGACGGCGTTGGAACGCTCTTTGGTGACGAAGACATTTTCCACATATCGAACCCAGAATGTCGGTCTACGGTGCCAGAAAACAAGAGACTTCAATCGTTTTAGGATCGCTTTGACTTTGAGTGTCGAGATCGACGAATCCATTGGCGTGCCCTCCACATGCTCGTACATTCTTCCGTCGAACGTAAACTACGTCTTGGAACAGACTTTGGCAACCGTATGGCGAAGGACCCCAATTAGTTGTTGATATAATCTGGGTCGTGTTTTGATGTATGTACTTGCAAAATCTAATTGTGTGCTGATGACTGGTAGTTGTACCAAAGAGCGGAGAAACAGAAAACCGACGACAGAAATGTCTGCCAGGGGATAGGTTCGGTCGTCCAATCATCAGGCGCTTTTTCAAGATTGAACCTCATGGAATATCCAGCTGGATACATTCACCATTTTTCTCGAAAGCATCGTTTTTGCCGCCGATCCTCTTCTATATTTTCCTTCATCCCGTCAGCTTACTTTCCAGCGTAAAATCCCCCATTACCACGATCCCCGTATGAGACGATTCACAGTATGTCGGTGAATAATTGGGGCCCTCCATCCTACCGTTGCCAAATATCCATCGACAGAGGAAAAAGAACAGCAGTAAATGGTCTATTTTGAGAGGGATCCTTGTTACCTCATACTATTTTCTAGCCGTTTGAATAGAACATCGCGTGTCAGTCCCGATGGGGCAGATGTGAATAATGGAACGACGCCATAATATGATCAGGCCGGCAGTTTTTCTAAGAATCTCGGCCAGGAATTCGGAAGCCGAATTGATGGATGTCATTGAGCCCCCTCGGAGGACTTTAGTTTACGAGTCATTTGTTTGAAATGATTTTGAGAGGGACAGCCTTTCAAGAATTTACCTATTCACCTGTCAGAAGGTGCAAATTATTTGTGGCTTTTCAGAAGAGAGAAGAACACAGACCAGCTGTAGTCGTGAAAAATAAGGAAATTGCAAGCACTCAAAATACACATTTTAAGCTCGGTCTACTTCGATCGCCACCTAGGCCCAATTTTTCAACATTTCGATCGAATCACCCTGCACCATACACCGAAAGAGGGGAATCTTGGATTAGGAAAAGTTACATAGCGTGGATGAACCATGACAGTCGTATTCATCCCTGTGTGAAGATGGTGGGAGGGAGAATATTCATATCCCCTAGAACTAAGGAAAACTGCTTATTCTTGCGTAGTAAGACGTAATTTCTAGAACTTAAATTTGGCGCTGCAAACGAAGGGCTGCCAATTGCTATTTATTTTTCCCACAGCATCTCGAAAGTGAGCGGCAGTTTGATATGCTCGTTGAATTAGTTGCCACTAATGGGAGACATACTCATCCGCTAGCGTGAAATCCGGTCGGTCTAATACCGTCAAATGGTCGAAATCGAACCCGCGCTCTGATTCGGATGAATGAGCAGTCATCGGGAGCACTTTGTCGTCTTGTCCATCGGCAGGTGCGTGTTCACGCATCCCCGTCCGGAATTGTTCACCGGCCTAACTAACAAGTGAGGGGATGTACGGCTGTGCACTCGCTCCTACCCTCTTTGGCCTTATGTTCTCCACCCTGCTTATGGATGCCTATCGTGTGGCATGGACTGAAAGGTAGGTCAGCTTCCAAACCGACGACAGGCACAAGTTCAGATCAGATCAGATTTATTAAGGGAAAGGTAGGCGAGCGTCTTTGAACTCCCTTTTGGTAACAATACCGTCATAAAAAAACAATGTGTAAGGCAAATGTCGAAGAAAATTAGGTAAGTAATTACATACAATAAGCATTGCTTACTGGTATGCATTTCTCTGTGGATGTCTTCTATGTCAAAATTGTACACTCAGTACGGTACTGAATGGACCAAGTAATGTCGAAGCAAGCGCATATGCTGCGGTCAGGAGATAGCGAAAAAGGCAAAACGTAATGTTACTAAAATATAGAGAGTAACATGCTTTATAACGTAAAACCTTGGGTGGGGCGGGTGGTACAAGGGGGAAATATGTTAATTTCTGATGCTGTGGAGGTACATATCCCTCTAATGGTCAAGCTTTCTCTTAAACGAGTCTACGGATAAGGACATGACGAAGTCAACAGGCAGGGCATTCCATGCCTTTACCACTCTGGCTGAAGAAGGACTTCCCTGCGTCCAGTCTCGCCCCGGTCACGCGTAGTTTCAGATGGTGTCCTCTCAAGCTTGTAGTGGTGGCCAGCTGAAAGAAGTCACGGGATGTGAGGCAGCAATCCTGACCGTAGCATTCGAAACGTTTGAATTAGGTCGCCACGTAGTTGTCTGTAGTCCAGGGGAAAAAGCTTAAGATTTGACAGTCTAGTTTCGTAAGGTAGGTTTTTATGACCTCTGACAAGCTCGGTTGCCTGTCGTTGAACTTTTTCGAGGGTGGTACGGTCTTTGACAGTCCAGGGTCTCCAGGCCTGAATGGCAAATTCTAACTTTGGGCGCACAAACATCCCGACGACCTTGTGAAAGCACTCTTCGTCAAACGTGGCAAATGCCCGCTTGATAAGATATAAGCTTAAGGAAGGAGACAGGATCGCCGGGACAAGAGCTTTATTAGCCTGACATTTCGGATTCCTACTCGAATCCATCATCAGAGACAAAAAAGCAGAAACGGGTGGTTGTTGCACAAGGGACTGCGGTATTCAAAGGATGCAGTCACCATGCTACCGAATACCTATGAGCATTCACGGCTCCCCCCTTCATCCGGAATTGTCGCACTTGGTGTGATCATTGCTTGATGGCCGACATTCGAGTCGATAATTGCTGCAATTTCATCACGTGCGTTGGATGTTGGCGTGATTATTGCACGACCATCTGACACACCGACCCCGGTGTTGGGAAAAGTGTTCACCTCTGCGCTCCCGGCATGGCTTAATACTCCGCCTAGGCGAAGTTTTAGCACGGAGTATGGAATGGGAAGCTCGTGCTCGAGCGTCATGTAGGCTGCATTAAGACGGGGTTGTTACAGCATGACTTTCTGTCCCAAGTGAACCGAGGTATGCCCCGGATGGCAGTCTTCCAAGTCACTGCTATTAGCACATTGTAATTGTTTGGAAACACGTCAGATTGGTTGCAAATGAGACGTATGCGCCGTGTGCCGGCCTCATCTGAACGCATAACGGAATAACACGTGGAATATTTGACTAAAATGAAGGCTACTGTGCCGTATGACCGGTTCAGCATAGAGGCCTATTTAATGAAATTGGTTGACGCGTTATTTAACGATGAATATGTTTATGCGGATACATTACATGAAGACGATATAAGTAGCAGCTATACTGTCCTTAAAACTACAAGGTCAGGCTGCACGCATGCTCGGATCGCGCATACATGAACATGAGCTGGCTGTGCAACCGGTTGATGAGTTATCACTTGTGGCTTTCCACACCCTCAAAATGGTCAGGAGTTCAATAGTTTGTCCAAAGACTCTACTTAAGTAATGCTTTTCAGACAATGACAATTTCGATTAATCTCATTGTGAGATAAGTGTGAAGCAGTTGGCTTCTCTTTCCATGCTCGTCTTCGTTTACTGGCATCCTGTCAGGCGTTTTAACTGGCGAGGATGGAGTAAGAAAATGGTAGCCGGTGGACTGAGTCTCTCGGGAATGGTGGTAATACGGGCGAGGCCTTATAGCGGGCAGTTGGTTGGTGGGGGAGGTGACAATTTTAAAAAAGTCAAAAAATTGCAGTAAAGTCGTCTATTTGGTACAATAAGAAACGGAAATAAAACACGAAATTCAAGAAACGTTTTAAATAGTTTTAATTAAAAAATTGAGAAAAATGAATAAAAAGTCGCTGGTTAATTTACATTCGTAGCCAATAGGGAGAAAAGGCTGTGACCTTGCAGTCGGCAAACAAGTCCGAATGATGAAATTCTGGGGTTGAATATTGACATGCGCGATAATCATTCGAGGTAATAAAAACACTGTGACGGCGCACTTGTCTACAAATTTGAACGCGTGTCACACTCTACACGGTCATTTACTCCACAGGACGTGCAGACAACATTACCAAGAGTGCTGAATTAAGGGGAAATTTCGCAACCCTAACACCCAGCAGGGAGTATCCAGTGTGCTTTCAATGATAATGGGCTAGGACTTTGAAATCCCTACTTTTTATTTATCAGCGTTTTATTTATCCCCATGCGTGAGCTCCAAATAAATTGTCAGTATAAACATATTATTAGCATAATTTAAGTAGCATTATTTTTAATACTAATCTCTGTGGACGTTGTTGCCTTCACAAGATGGCAGAGGATGGAGTTGTCATTTGTGGTTTGTTGTATGTCGCCACTCAGCCTCTGCAAAGCCAGAAATGGCCATCCCAGTCTCCCTTGTCTTTGTTGGTAATACTACTGTGCTTCACTGTGAGTCATCTGTTGCACTGACCTATCTGTCTTCTACTCGACTTATCGCGTCGGAATTAGCGACCGTCGTTGTGTTCTCTGGGCTGCACTGTGGATTGGGCGCCGTAGAATAACTACAGGCTAGCAAGCCTCACCTCCATTTGTTTCAAAGTGATGGAGAAAATAATTAATAAGGCGTTGATACATTTTCTTGAGCAGAATTACCTTCTCTCCGATGCCCAACACGGCTTTCGCAGTGGTGGACCCAGTCTCATGAGTCGGATATTTTCACCTGGACGCTGGACCAAAGCACGCGACGAAGGCAATTTGATTCTCGCAACGTACTTCAACTTCAAGAATGCCTCCGACAGCCTCTCTCACAGACGTCTCTTGCACGAACTGCGCAGCCTAGGAGTTCATGGAAGTCTCCTTGTATACATCCAGAACATCTCCATTGGAAAGTCGCAAAGAATCGGGCGTCAGCAGTCCTCTGAGTGGCGATTAGTGTTCCACTGGACTCAGTCTTAGACCCCACGTTATTCTTCTTTTTGGTAAATTACTGCGTCAGGAACTTAAACCGTGATGTCATACTGTTCACTGACGGCATACAACAGCTGAATGTTGTTCAGAATGCGGCAGACATTGTCCACATGCAGCTAAATTCGAACAGACTCGAGGACTGGTTGGAGCACTGACTTATTCATATATGTGCACTTTTTTCAAATCAGCAGCAGCAGCAGCAGCGGAACCTGTAGTTGTGCGATTTACTTTCTAGAGGGTACACCACTGCAACAGGTTGACTGTCTGAAGGATTTGGGCGTGTGGATTATATCATCTTTCAAACCAACACTGAACTGTCTGAAGTTAGCCAATTCGGCCATGTCTACATTGCAACTCACTGGGCGAGCCTTTATGGGATTTTACAAAGGTAGCTTTTCAAAGATATTTGACAGCTTCGTGTGATCCCATCTAGAATATGTCATACAGTTATGGAGACCTTGGACTGTCAAGGACGGTAGTGATTTAGAGAACGTCCAGAGTCGGGCGACAAAAATGACAACCGGTCTGGCCTAAGAAACCGGACTACTAACTCTCAGCCTGATTCTCCCTTCCCACAGGCAACTACACGATGGTCTTATACTATCCTTCCACATTATGCATGGCCTAGCATGCTGTATTGTCCGCAGTGATTTCTTCACTCAAGCCAACACGCTCGCTTCGTGCGTCATCCCCTAGGACTACGCGCAGGCAAGACAAGCTACAATGAACGGAGATTTTTCTAAACTGACTGAGTAGTTGCAAAGTGGACCAACGTGGCCACTGATGCTACACTCTCCCCCTATGTGGATTCGTTAAATTATAGGCTCGGCACGTCTCCAGCTTCCCGATTGCCAGCCACATGCGCATTCACATAATCAGTGGCTGAATTTGCACATTACTTTACTGCTAACAATACGCAAGTAGATGTTCCTGTTCAGTCTTTTTCGTCTGGGGGGCAGTTTCCTGCTATGCTCTCGCAAATACGTAAACAATCTCTCCTTCAATTTTTAATTTATCGGGCTCTTTACCAGACAGTCTGCAAACAATAGGGAGTTCAACGGCGTTCGTCTATTTTTACGCTAGTAAGACTGAACACAACTGATGACTGAGAGAAAGCGCCTAATTTCACTGCGGTCTGCGAATACGTGGACTTTTCTCCGATCGCTTCGCATCTCCGACTGCCGCACTGTACACGTAGGGCAGAATTCGGTTTCGGCGTCTAAGTCCAACACCCTCACTACATTCGTCCACTCTCAATGACCTGCGGCTCTGAAAATTCAATGCCCCACCGATATATTTTAATTTTAGCACAGAATTCGATATTGGTTTTTATGACCTGGTAAATTGTACAAAATTGTTTTCTGCAAAGGCTGGGGAAGAAGGAATTGTCATTTCTGGTTCGTTGAACGTTGATACTAAGCTGCTGCAGTCACCCTTCTCGGAGACAATGCTCATTTTGCTCGCACAAACAGAATGTTTCGAAATCGCAAGCCTCTATATGCGTATCCTTGTTCATTTGCACACCTGAGCATACATACATCACATGCTGATTAAGAAATTTTGGTATCCACCATGGTGCAGAGTGGGGGGAGGTGAGGTTTTGTACTGCGGTTCTCACGTTTTAATGCCCCACCCCAACCGGCCACACGTTAGATACGCTGAACAAAGTCGAGGTCATATTGCATTGTGGCAGGAGTTATCGGAATACGCACCATAACCAATTTCAACATCTCGGGATTGCTGTGGCAGACACAGTTGATGACAGAGATCGGGCACATTAAAAGCCCTGTCGCTCTCCCCCACTAACTCATTGGAATTGTTGATTAAAAGGCTGGTCATTTGTTGTGTGAAACAAGGGGTGTGAAGTGGGTCGTCAAGGTGTGGGTTTGAGCGTGCCATCTACTTGCGCCTTCCCCGCCTATGGGCTTCTGGAGTTTGTCTTGACACCGCGCCAGTGTGTGGGAGGAGGGCAGAGTCAGGTAAATGCCGGGAGTTGGTCGTGTGACTTCAGGTCGGCTCGTCTGGGACGGCTCGCTGCAAGGGGTGAATGACCTTGAGGCAGCGAGGTCTTGAACAATGACGCCAGACGGGTCAGGATGGCTGGCTGCCACAAATTGTAGCACCGTTTGCTGCAAATAGCCGTAGCAACGTCTTTGATTTTGTAACGAGGAGAATGTCGCAACGATTCCAGATGGAGAGCTGTTACTGGCAGAAGGAATGACTGACATGGGAGACCAAACCCGCGACTCCGTCGTCGACCTTGATGTGCCTTGCGGTAGTCTTCCTAGGCGTGCAAAATCGCCTAATGATGTGTGACGATTCTGTTGTCTTGTGCCGTGGGCTCGCTGTATTAGTGAGATGGCGTCGAACGATACATGCACACCGCCTTTCTCGTGATAATGATTAGTCCGAAGTTTGAGTGATTACAGGCAAAGGGCCTGCAGAGACTGACCTTGGATACTTCAACTTGGGTTCAAATTTTCGTCCTCCGAGGGGTTATTATTCTTTGAGATTTCCGAACTCTGGATGTTCCTGCAGTCAACCGCAATTTAGAAAATTGAATTTCAGCCAGCAATATTAGCATCGTCAGCAATTTAAAACACCACCGCAGAACATGGACTTCGACACTGACAGTTCTGCATACGAGTCCAACAAGACAAATCTTCCAGCAAACGAAACGCTTAGAACAATCTTTTCAAAGACTGAGTCTCATTTCGAAACTTAGGCATTAGCTTTACCCTTATTTCAAAGCATTAGCTTAAATTTCTATTAACTGAAGTACCGTTGAATTCGACTGGGTTTCTGTTGTCTGAAGTCTCGAAGTATTCGCTTAGATTTCCGTTGTCTAAAGTTTCCCAGACATCTGAAGCCCTTATACCTTCTTTTGATTGTGACTCTCTCCGGCTGCCAACCTTTTGGCCTTTGTTGCATCCTTGACTTTGGCGCATAAAGGCATGGGAAATGTAGAAGTGTACGATCCTTCAGTCCCTCGGGATAAAAAAAGGCGGTGGAGGGCGGGAGTCGATCCCCCAACCCTCGCCTCAGGAGGTGAGCGCCTTGTAGTGGACAGCCATAATGGCTACGTCGTGCCTCTCGCTAGCGCCTGCACCTTCGTCCTAGCGACAGCATGCTATGGCACGCACGTCTGCCCGGTTTCGATTTGTCTCGTTGCAATTCACTGCCTGCACCACGCGAGGCTTGTCACTACCTTCGCGTGGGCTCGGAGCCAATCAACGCAACTCCTATCGCTGATTGTTAAGACAGGCGGGAACAGTCCAGAACAATAGAGTAAACAATCTGCAACGACACTTTTGCAGCGGCGACCTTCGGCGACAGAGGGCTCGTCGCTCTAGCGGACGCCGCCTCCGCGGCGCTGGACGCATCCTCGTCCGGTTGCCAAATTTTCCCTTCACTATTCTGTATAGAATAAAGTGTCCTAACTAAATGGCGTCTTGCATCTAACAACTTGGCATATGGCCCGAAGTTGTGACGTACTGAGCGTACACTATCACCGCTTAGCCGCTACAGCCTAAAGAATATTTATTGCATTAACCCCATAATTCGAGGATACGCCGGACTTGGCCATGAACATAGTACACTGGCAACTCCATGTCGACCAGCGTCGAGTCACATCGGGCAGGGAGGATCTAACGAATGCAGTACGCCAGAAGTGGCTCAAAACAGGACGGATATGGCCCGCGACGCAAATTATGTCGGGAAATCCGCTACGACTACACAGGATTTTCTACCAGATGCCGAACCTTCAAACTGTTGTGCGCGGTGTAACTATTGCCGAGATCTCGCGTTAAGCATTATATCGTTGGAGACGAACATGAACTTCCCCATAGACCTCATTGCCTTGTTACTAAAGTATGATAAGTTCAGGTCAATTGCTGAATTCAGCAGCAGCCAACAGATAGTTTCAAGACTGACAGAGTTGACGAACAGCAACCCACTAATAGAAGGATTGCCGTTTCAGGAAATCGCTGACTGTAGAAATAAAAAAGTGCTGAAAGAAGAGGTAAACGAAAACATGAACATACAGCACCACCCTCACCACGAGCGGTGGTAAAGGACAATCCAAAATCGCAAATTAAGTTGGGAAGTGATAATGGCGGTGCACACACATCATCGATAACTACCCAGCTGAAGAACAATGACCAGCTCACTGGCAGAGTAGAAGCTGTCCGATCACCAGAGAAGAAGGTAAAAGGATTCGACATAGAAAAGACTACCGCATGGACGGAAGCCCCAGAAGAAATTGCGGAGTATATGACAAGGCATGATATTAATCCGCCGCAGAAGAGCAGAAAACAGACGATCATCGTCCCCCGCAATGACACCGAGGAGAAGCTAGCAACTAATAATAAGACTCAAAGAAGAAGACACGATCGCCGGGACAAGAGCTTTATTAGCCGGACATTTCGGATTCCTACTCGAATCCATCATCAGAGACAAAAAAGCAGAAACGGGTGGTTGTTGCACAAGGGACTGCGGTATTCAAAGGATGCAGTCGCCATGCTACCGAATACCTATGAGCATTCACGGCTCCCCCCTTCATCCGGAATTGTCGCACTTGGTGTGATCATTGCTTGATGGCCGACATTCGAGTCGATTATTGCTGCAATTTCATCACGTGCGTTGGATGTTGGCGTGATGATTGCTCGACCATCTGACACACCGACCCCGGTGTTGGGAAAAGTGTTCACCTCTGCGCTCCCCGCATGGCTTGCTACTCCGCCTAGGCGAAGTTTTAGCACGAGCTTCCCATTCCATACTCCGTGCTGAAACTTCGCCTAGGCGGAGTAAGAAGCCATGCGAGGAAGGATAAGTCGAGTAGAAGACAGATAGGTCAGTGTAACAGATGACTCACAGTGAAGCACAGTAGTATGACCAACAAAGACAAGGGAGACTGGAATGGCCATTTCTGGCTTTGCAGAGGCTGAGTGGCGACATACAACAAACCACAAATGACAACTCCATCCTCTGCCATCTTGTGAAGGCAACAACGTCCACAGAGATTAGTATTAAAAATAATGCTACTTAAATTATGCTAATACTATGTTTATACGGACAATTTATTTGGAGCTCACGCATGGGGATAAATAAAACGCTGATAAATAAAAAGTAGGGATTTCAAAGTCTTGACCCATTATCATTGAAAGCACACTGAATGCTCCCTGCTGGGTGTCAGGGTTGCGAAATTTCCCCTTAATTCAGCACTCTTGGTAATGTTATCTGCACGTCCTGTGGAGTAAATGACCGTGTAGAGTGTGACACGCGTTCATATTTGTAGACAAGTGCGCCGTCACAGTGTTTTTATTACCTCGAATGATTATCGCGCATGTCAATATTCAACCCCACAATTTCATCATTCGGACTTGTTTGCCGACTGCAAGGTCACAGCCTTTTCTCCCTATTGGCTACGAATGTAAATTAACCAGCGGCTTTTTATTCAGTTTTCTCAATTTTTTAATTAAAACTATTTAAAACGTTTCTTAATTTTTGCGTTTTATTTCCGTTTTTTATTGTACCGAATAGACGACTTTACTGCAGTTTTTTGACTTTTTTAAAATTGTCACCTCCCCCACCAACCAACTGCCCGCTATAAGGCCTCGTCCGTATTACCACCATTCCCGTAAGACACGGTCCACCGGCTACAATTTTCTTACTCCATCCTCGCCAGTTAAAACGCCTGATAGGACGCCAGTAAACGAAGAAGAGCATGGAAAGAGAAGCCAACTGCTTCACAATTATCTCACAATGAGATTAATCGAAATTGTCATTGTCTAGAAAGCATTACTTGAGTAGAGTCTTTGGACAAACTATTGAACTCGTGACCCATTTTGAGGGTGTGGAAAGCCACCAGTGATAACTCATTAACCGGTTGCACAGCCAGCTCATGCTCATGTATGCGCGATCCGAGCATGCGTGCAGCCTGTCCTTGTAGTTTTAAGGACAGTATAGCTGCTACTAATATCGTCTTCATGGAATGTATCCACATAAACATTTTCATCGTTAAATCGCGCGTCAACAGATATCATGAAATAGGCCTCAAAGCTGAACCAGTCATACGGCACAGTAGCCTTCATTTTAGTCAAACATTCCACGTGTTATTCCGTAATGCGTCCAGATTAGGCCGGCAGTCGGCACATACGTCTCATTTGCAACCAATCTGACGTGTTTCCAAACAATAACAATGTGCTAATAGCTGTGACTTGGAAGACTGCCATCTGGGGGATACCTCGGTCCACTTGGGACAGAGAGTCATGCTGTAACAACCCCGTCTTAATGCAGCCTACATGACGCTTGCACACAGTTGGGATTGGGACCGACGTTCTGTGTGTGTGTGTGTTTGATTGACGTTCTGGTGATACCTACTTCGTCTGCGACAACTTCGGCCTGTTCATAACACGGAGAAAACGGTGGTTATGCATCAAACGAGTGAGGAAAAAGAGGTCATCTGCTTCGCAGCTATCTCATGAAAGGTTAAACGATATTCGGAAATGTGTCTTTGTCTAGAAAGGATTGCTTATTATGGTCGCATAACTGACTATCACACAACATAAGAGTGGGCTGTTTCACTCACGTCAGCATACCGGCTTTCGAAAGAGCACCTTTCCCGCCGCTAGTTTGAATTTTTGTACTGATTTTCGATGTCCTTCTTTATTTACTTATATGTTGTAGAATACATGCAAAAACGTATTATTTGTACTATGCTTAATTAGTAGGAAACGGCGTCTTCTTCCAATCGTCTGCTTAAGGAAAAGATATGTTTCGCCTTTAAAATGTTTCTCATTTTTAACATTGAAAATATATGGTATGATCCACATCTACTGCGAAATTCAATAAGACGTATGTGACCTTTTCTTAACAGCACACATAATTGTATAATTTTCGTTACAGGAAAGATGAACAGCTGGCAGTTGGCTGACTGGGGTTGGAGTTTAACACAGACCGGAGGCCACCATGAGGCGTCGGGTGATGAGACCAAAAGACACACCGCCACGGCAAAAAACATCTGGATTCGTTTACCGGATCTGGTGAAGTTGCGGACAAAGCAACTACGTCGGAGAAACTGGAAGACTGCTCCGATCGCGCGGCACCGGTAGGGAAAAATGACGCCAAGTCTCAGGTCGCGGCCCATTCGATGAGACCCGGCCACACATTCAAGTTCGATGAGGCTGAAATTCTCGGGAGAGGGGATAATCGTGTTAGCCGCGAGTTGCTTGAGTCATGGTTAGCGGGACCTCAGTCTACCAACAAGCGCAACGACATCCCCACTCCATATTCCATGCTGAGGCATAGGCTGGCCAAGGTAATTGACCACTCGTGGAGCACGCTAGCCGGTGAGCCAGATGGCGGAGCAATCATCACGCCAGCATCCAACACGGGTGATGACATTTCGGCAATTAACAACTTGCATGCCGTGAAGAAGGTGACACGATCGCCGGGACAAGAGCTTTATTAGCCTGACGTTTAGGATTCCTTCTCGAATTCATCTTCAGAGACAAAAAAGCAGAAATGGGTGGTTGTTGCACAAGGGACTGCGGTATTTAAAGGATGCCGTCGCCATGCTACCGCATACCTATGAGCATTCACGGCTCCCCCCTTCATCCGGAACCGTCACACTTGGTGTGATCATTGCTTGATGGCCGACATTCGAGTCGATTATTGCTGCAATTTCATCACGTGCGTTGGATGTTGGCGTGATTACTGCACGACCATCTGACACAAAGACCCCAGTGTTGGGAAAAGTGTTCACCTCTGCGCTCCCCGCATGGCTTGCTACTTCGCCTAGGCGGAGTAACAAGCCATGCGGGGAGCGCAGAGGTGAACACTTTTCCCAACACCGGGGTCTGTGTGTCAGATGGTCGAGCAATCATCACGCCAACATCCAACGCACGTGATGAAATTGCAGCAATTATCGACTCGAATGTCGGCCATCAAGCAATGATCACACCAAGTGCGACAATTCCGGATGAAGGGGGGAGCCGTGAATGCTCATAGGTATTCAGTAGCATGGCGACTGCATCCTTTGAATACCGCAGTCCCTTGTGCAACAACCACCCGTTTCTGCTTTTTGTCTCTGATGATGGATTCGAGTAGGAATCCGAAATGTCAGGCTAATAAAGCTCTTGTCCCGACGATCGTGTCTCCTTCCTTAAGCTTATATCTTATCAAGCGGGCATTTGCCACGTTTGACGAAGAGTGCTTTCGCAAGGTCGTCGGGATGTTTGTGCGCCCACAGTTAGAATTTGTCATTCAGGCCTGGAGAGCCTGGACTGTCAAAGACCGTACCACCCCCGATAAAGTTTAACAACAGGCAACCGAGCTTGTCAGAGGTCATAAAAACCTACCTTACGAAACTAGACAGTCAAATCTTAAGCGTTTTCCCCTGGACTACAGACAACTACGTGGCGACTTAATTCAAACGTTTCGAATGCTACAGTCAGGATTGCTGCCTCGCATCCCGTGACTTCTTTCAGCTGGCCACCACTACAAGCTTGAGAGGACACCATCTGAAACTACGCGTGACCGGGGCGAGACTGGACGCAGGGAAGTCCTTCTTCAGCCAGAGTGGTAAAGGCATGGAATGCCCTGCCTGTTGACTTCGTCATGTCCTTATCCGTAGACTCGTTTAAGAGAAAGCTTGACCATTAGAGGGATATGTACCTCCACAGCATCAGAAATTAACATATTTCCCCCCTGTACCACCCGCGCCACCCAAGGTTTTACGTTATAAAGCATGTTACTCTCTATATTTTAGTAACATTACGTTTTGCCTTTTTCGCTATCTCCTGACCGCAACATATGCGCTTGCTTCCTCATTACTTGGTCCATTCAGTACCGTTCTGGTTATTGTACAATTTTGACAAAGAAGACATTCACAGAAAAATGCATACCAGTAAGCAATGCTTACTGTACGTAATTACTTACCTAGTTTTCTTCAACATTTGCCTTACACATTGTTTTTTTATGACGGTATTGTTACCAAAAGGGAGTTCAAAGACGCTCGCCTACCTTTCCCTTAATAAATCTGATCTGATCTGAACTTGTGCCTGTCGTCGGTTTGGAAGCTGACCTGCCTTTCAGTCCATGCCACACGATAGGCATCCATAAGCAGGGTGGAGAACATAAGGCCAAAGAGGGTAGGAGCGAGTGCACAGCCCAACATCCCCTCACTTGTTAGTTAGGCCGGTGAACAATTGCGGACGGGGATGCGTGAACACGCACCTGCCGATGGACAAGACGACAAAGTGCTCCCGATGACTGCTCATTCATCCGAATCAGAGCGCGTGTTCGATTACGGCCATTTGACGGTGTTAAACCGACCGGATTTCACGCTAGCGGATGAGTATGTCTCCCATTAGTGGCAACTAATTCAACGAGCATATCAAACTGCCGCTCACTTTCGAGATGCTGTGGGAAAAATAAATAGCAATTGGCAGCCCTTCGTTTGCAGCGCCAAATTTTAGTTCTAGAAATTACGTCTTACTACGCAAGAATAAGCAGTTTTCCTTAGTTCTAGGGGATATGAATATTCTTCCTCCCACCATCTTCAGACAGGGATGAATACGACTTTCATGGTTCATCCACGCTATGTAACTTTTCCTTATCCAAGATTCCCCTCTTTTGGTGTATGGTGCGGGGTGATTCGGTCGAAATGTTGAAAAATTGGGCCTAGGTGGGGATCGAAGTAGACCGAGCTTAAAATATGTATTTTGAGTGATTGGAATTTCCCTATATTTCACGACTAAACCTGGTCTGTGTTCTTCTCCCTTCTGAAAAGCCACAAAAAATTTGCACCTTCTGACGGGTGAATAGGTAAATTCTTGAAAGGTTGTCCCACTTAAAATCATTTCAAATAAATGACTCGTAAACTAAATCTCTTCCGAGGGGGCTCAATGACGTCCATCAATTCGGCTTCCGAATTCCTGGACGAGATTCTTAGAAAAACTGCCAGCCTGATCGTATTATGGCGTCGTTCCATTATTCACATCTGCGCCATCGGGACTGACACGCGATGTTCTATTCAAACGGCTAAAAAATAGTATGAAGTAACAAGGAGCCCTCTCAAGATAGACCATTTATTGCTGTTCTTTTTCCTCTGTCGATGGATATTTGGCAACGGTAGGATGGAGGGCCCCAATTATTCACCGACGTACTGTGAATCGTCTCATACGGGGATCGTGGTAATGGGGGATTTTACGCTGGAAAGTAAGCTGACGGGATGAAGGAAAATATAGAAGAGGATCGGCGGCAAAAACGATGCTTTCGGGAAAAATGGTGAATGTATCCAGCTGGATATTCCATGAGGTTCAATCCTGAAAAAGCGCCTGATGATTGGACGACCGAACCTATCCCCTGGCAGACATTTCTGTCGTCGGTTTTCTGTTTCTCCGCTCTTGGGTACAACTGCCGGTTATCAGCACACAGTTAGATTTAGCAATTACATACATCAGCAGACGACCCAGATTATATCAACAGCTAATTGGGGTACTTCACCATACCGTTCCCAAGACATACTTTACGTTCGATGGAACAATATGCGAGCATGTTGATGGGCACGCCAATAAATTAGCCGATCTCAAGGTTCAAAGCCAAAGCGATTCTAAGACGGTCGAAGTCTCTTTTTTCTGGCACCGCAGACCGACCTTCTGTGTTTTATATGTGGATGATATCTTCGTCACCAAAGAGCGTTCCAACGCCGTCTTCCTGGACATTCATTTTACAATGGAGAAGGAGTAAAATAACCAGCTGGCTTTTCAAGATGTTCTCGTCTGCCGCTTAGATTGTGGTGACCTAAAAACCAAAGTGTTCAGGAAAGCGACATATACGGCGCAGGTACTGAACTTCAACACTAACCACCTGATCGGTCACAAACGCAGTTGTGTAAGGATGCTATAGCGGCGCGTTGAGACGCTCTGCAGTGAGACGGATTACAATACTGAGAGCTAATGGCTACCCAAGCAACTTAACCAAACAGCACATGCGCAAATGATACTACGGAGACAAAGTGCGATTGGCCCTAAATTTTGGCGAGCTCTTCCGTAAGTGAAGTACGTCTCGGAGGCCGTCAGCCATCTTCTCACTCTATTTGCAGTTGAGATTGCACGTAGGCTAGAAGCAACCATCAGGCGCCGGGTCATGAGGCCGAAAGACTCACTGCCACGGTAGGAAACGTGTAGAGTCGTTTACCGGATCTGGCGCAGTTGTGAACAGAGCACTTTGGCCGGAGAAACTGGGAGATTTCTCCGGACGCGGATGGCTGAGTAAGCAGCAGCGGTGAGTTGGGAAGTAGCTAGATCTCACGCGACGTCTCATTCGACGGAACTCCTTGTCCTCGCAAGGGGTGACAACCACGTGAGCCGCAAACTGTTCGAATCAAGGTTCTCAGACTCGTCGTCCATTAACAAGCGCAACGATCCCCTGGTCTCATACTCGGCGCCGAATCTAATTTCCCTTTAATAGCAAAACATTGGAACAGATAAAAGGAACGCCAGTGGATCACCCGTGGACAGAAGGCCCAGTCAGGGAGGTCACTCAACGTTTCGGCCGAACAATCTGACTATTGGGATTCATGCTTTGGCGGCTGCAATTCCGAGTATGCAACGCAAAGTGATCATGAAACACACCGATTTATCCTGGTTTCAGAACAAAATTTGGATTCAGTTCCGCATGACGCGCCGAGTGCAGAGCTCTTGCAAACGCTCTAATGACTACAGCTGAGCAATAATCAAAAGTGTTACGAAAACGGAACGCGGTAGACTGAAATGGCAATTTCTGACTTAGGAGACGTCATCAGTCAGACGTGCTCAAATCCAGACCCTGCAACTGAGAGGTCGGTACCCTTGAAAGGACGGTCTCTGGCCCTCTGTGTTATCCTTATGGGAACCAATGCATCCTTGCGGATCGGAGCATTTTCCCTTAATTCCTCCAGGACCAGTGAATATGAACCGTTACTAATATCTGTTCAGTAGCACTGGGTAGAAACTGAGAGGCAGAAGCGAATATTACGGCCACCTATCTCTTATCAGGCGCCGTCAACTTATGATATCCAATGCCAAATTTTGATAGCCAGACGCCTGAACCCCAAGCACACAACGTAAATTGAGATTTGTCCAACTGATCCATCCTGGTTTCAGGACACAAATTGGGGTTAGGTCCTTAAACAGACCGTGACTGATGCCATGAAATGCGTTGTAATCTAAGAAGGACTACTCAAGTGAGGTTGTAAAATTTATTATCTTGCTGCCTGTCTGTTGGCTTTTGAATATCTTTCCGCAGTGACTGCAGCCGACACAAAATGACTACTTGTATAGTGGAAGTATTTTCTATAGATTTTCCATAGGTTTATGAATTAAGTAATATTGTATAAGAAGCATGTATAACACTATTCTTTATGTATTCCTTTGGCGGTAAATTACGTTTTCTTCAAATTTTTCACTCGAACTAGGACCATCTTTCGATTTTAAATGAATTTTCAATTGCGAGATTTTCAAATCCGTGTAATGTCTATTTAAATGGCATTGTATCTATCTGTTCAATACTGCTCCTCGTGAAGTAGGCAACAAAGTCCACATTTGGTGAAAAATTTTATGAGCCCTATTGGACGTCTACTTGGTGGAGTAGAGGAATGAATGTTTTTAATTACGTGGAAAGTATGAAGTCAGTAGGCTAGAAACCCTAAACGCAAATGAAACGGCAGATAGAGCTCAAAATTATTCTTAACTTCAGAAATGTTTCAGAAAAGGAAAAGTGTCCTTATTAGGATATAAATGTTGAACAAGACATGAGTTGATGTTAAGAAATTACAAGAAAGGATATTTTGTTCCCGCCTTTTGCAAAATATTTCTGAATATATAAGGACATCTAGAATCAGCAAATATATTGCATGTCGAGTGCGGTTTTTTAAATGGCTGAAAAGAACAGCGCCCAAAAGCCAACATACTGCCGTGCCTGGAATATGATTTCTCAATTAATATTAAAAATATGTCTACACCATCCATTCTAATCGAATGCGCACTTCATCATTTTGGCCAATATTTCATGAGATCGATCATTGTCTGTATCTTGTTTCCCAAATGCTGAGTCCTTGCAAATGGTCTAATGACAAGATCTGAGCAAAAATCAAAATATGTTATTCAAACAGGATGCGAGAGACTTGGATGACAGTTTCCTTCTTATGAGACGTCATCGGCCAGGAATACAATAAATCCAGGCCATGCAGTTGATAGGTCGTTATCTTTTGAGGGAGCACATGTGACCCTGTATATAATTCAATGGAGCCTGTCATTTTTCCTTAATTCGTCCATCATTAGTGGCATTTACTGTTGCTGGTTTTTGCTAAATGCAGTCGATAGCATTGATTACATTTTGATAGGGAAAAAAATCGATAATTATGACCGCTTTTGATTTATCAGGCGTGGTCAGCTCGTGATACCCAGCGTCAGGATTTATTCGCCAAGAGCTCAAGCCAGATCACGCAATTGACAATCGCAATAATTTTTTATTATATGCGGGTTGTTCGGCGATCTGCCCTCATTTTCCGCCAGCCTCCTCCCGTTGTGACTTCGAGCTCATCCTAAAATTCTAGCATGCAAAAGTGGAAGTGGTCCGGCAAAATTCCTGCCGACAACGGAGACTGGGATGGACATTACTGGCATGTTAGTCGTCGACATGCAATCGTGCCCCAACTCCAGATTTCGATAAATCAGCGCACGAACCCAGGACTCTTAGCTCATTTAGCGTGCAATTGAACGTAGGGGCTCATTGCTCTAATTTTTTAACCGATTCAGATTACAAGATGACATGCCGGACCGGCTTGACTTTGGAAGTCAAATCAGGCACACGCTTAGGTTGTGATGTAGCGGTGCACATCCAGTCTGGTTCAGTTGGGGTCAAGGGAAACCAGGTCGTCATGCAGGCAGTTCAGATCGGTGGACGCAATTCTGATGCAATTTGTAGAACTGCTGATTGGATAACCTTACTGAGAAAGACGAAAAAGAGTGGAATGGCCAATCATAGCTTGTTAACCGTTATCAGACAACCATACCCAACCCCGAGTTGTGCAACCCCCGGGGCTCGATCATCCGGCCTGCTGTTTAAGGTCAAATACCCTAACCATTGAGCCACGCTCTCGTTGTGCTGCCGTTTGAGATGTTGTATACTAAAAATTGTAGATGGGCGCCCCCTGATTGCGTTATGGGACTCCCTGGTTCCGTTGTGCTTTGCGGCTCAATATCGAGTCTCGCCGACAACCGCTCAGCGGCCAGTATTACAGGCGGAATGGCATTACAGACAAAGACATTTTTGACTTATTAGCTGCCGTCGGCCAATCATACCCAACCCCGAGGTTCACAACCCCTGGGGCTTGATCCCCAACACCCGTGCTAGATAACAGATCGGTGGATATCCTTGTGACACAACTTCGACTGGATCCCATAGGTGGTCGTTCTGTGCGGCAACTATTGGGACGTTAAGTTCAAGCATCAAATATGGTCCTTCCACAACCATAATTAGGCCGGAAGGGAGTCTTTCTGTCCTATGGTCTTTGTCCGTCATGGTTCTTGACAAAGAAATGCAGCCGATTGTGCTTTTGCAAGTCGAGGGAGCCACGGTTCACGACAGTTAAAGGGGATTATGTCCAGCCCGGTTCTGAGCTCCCTCAGTTGGGTGAGTGCGAACTCAGTCAATTTTGGCATAATTTACCGCACCGTAAATGTCATCGCCGAGGAGGGACAGTTCCGTTCTCGAAAATTTCCCACACGCGCCCCAGCATATTCTGGCAGGACGAACAGCGGCCAACAATTATGCTGTCCGGCGTTGCGCAACGACTGCGCGTCCCTCCCCCCTGTCCGCAAATTACTTCCTGCATTGTAGTTAATGGCAAATTGTCGTCTCAGTGGCCCAGTAAAAATTTCTATAAATATATGTCCATAAACGGCTGGCGCAGACATCACTTCTACGCGATGATTGCTCTTCTATTCGCCGCCTGCCTTCTCTCCGTGGTAACAGTTGAGGGTGAGTTGTGCATTTAATTTTTTGTATCGAACCCCCCAACATCACCTCGCGCAGCCTTAAATTCACAAATTCGGTCACCAGTTTACGGTTATTTAACCTCATAGATGATCTGCATGACGTTATGCCAGACATGTTTATGCGTACCCGAATGAGACGCCGCAACGCCCCTTAGAAACTATTAAAGTGGTGGAGCAGCGTTCAGCCCTAACCCGCCTCAGGCACGCAACGCCTTAATCTCCCCCTCGTCAAAAAATCTATCAGGTGCACTGGTCTAAGCATTCAGAAAACTCGCAAAGCGGCTGACTTTAGTCGATTTTGGAGACAAAATGTATTCGTGAGTGCTACTGACTGGACCATCGTCATTCTGTTGGCCAGCGGTGACGAGCATTCTACTGTGAACGCAACTCAGCATTTGCATTGCGTCTCACTGCCAGTGCACACTGGTGGCACATAAGGCGCCGGCATAACTGAAGGGACAGCCATCATTTAACCCTGTTTGTTTTGAGGCAAAACCTGAAAGGCCTTCACTTCCTCCTCTCTCTCTCTCTCATCACATCACATCCAACATCTTCAAGCGTCTCCAGCTGAGACGCCCCAACAGCGCACTTGTACTCACCGGCCAGCCTGTTATTTCGCCCTAACTTCCACTTAGAAACTAGTGCACAAATGCTGAATGGAGATCCGAGTTTAATCCTAACCCACCACATGCATTCTTTCTCCTCTTCAGGATGGGTGCACCCCTGCTACATGCCTATCCTGACTGGCAGGTGCAGAGCGCGGATGCCAATGTATGCCTTCAATCCTCAGTTGGGCGCCTGTGTGGAATTCGTGTATGGCGGCTGCGGTGGCAATTATAATCGCTTCGAGACCAAGGAGGAGTGTGAGGCGATCTGTGGTGGATTCCGTCATCAAATGTAGAACCTGCCGCTACCAGTTTATCATTTCTGTATTGTAGCATTACATTAAATTTAACGTGTAGGCTAAACTGCTGTATCTTTTTGTTGATATTTCTGGCTAAAAGGGGCCGAAGAACTTTCCCTGGTAGGGACTATGCCCATTTTAATCCACGACCTTCTACCGAATAGGAATTACTAACTAGAACTAACATGCGGAGTGAATTGTCATTGATACTAGTAGAGCGAAAGAAAGTTTAGAATCACAGTAGCGACCATGAGAGATGACTTGTTCTCTTCCAAGTTCACGTTTTCTGATGTAGGCAACGTTGATAGTGAACCAAGTCGAAATATGCGGATACATCTAGCGGCACGTTAGAGGGCGCGTCAGGCTACGCTTTTCTGTTTTTAAGAAAACACTCTCTGACTGACACAGGGGTGCACCGGCTCGGTTCGGACGACAAGCGGCGCCGAGTTGTCTCTGGCTGAACGATTAGCCTCCCAAACGAGTTAGAGAAGACCGTAACGTTCTTCCCAGCGTGCGTCAGTAACTTATCGATTAATGATTATTTGTTCGCATGCCGCGGCTTTGCGAGCGGACACCCAGGCCGCGCGGACGCAGGCGGCCGGACTTGACATCTACAACGTTCTTCTCAAAATCATAAGATCAGCTGTTTTTGCATAAAAATGTGCAGTTTCTAGAGCGGACAGATTATATTCGACTGCATGCAAAATCTACACTCTGCAAAAATTACTACATAACAAGCGTGCAATTTTCTCATTAATTTTTGATGTTTTTGAAAATTCAGCTTTATTACATGGAAGACATGCTGAACATATTTATTATTTTACTTATTCGGTAGAAAATCACGTCTTCTTCCAAATTCATACTCAAAAGAAGAGTACCATTCGGTTTTAAAAAAGTCTCTAATTATGAGATTTTTTTATACCGATAAATGGCTGTTCATGAAACGTCTTGTATCTGCCTTTCTGAATGTGTCTTGTAAAGTTAACAATATTGCTCAAATCCACTGCTTAGGTTTATGAACCTTATATGGTCTCCTCTGAACACCGTAGAGAAATGCATGGTTTTCCGTAAACGAAAAATATACAGCTTGTAGTTTTGAAACCCTGAATGCAAGTGTAACAGCAGGTCGGGTTCAAAATTATTCGGGAATTAGAAAAGTTTTTAAAACCGAATTATATTCTTCTTTTGAGTATGAACTTGGAAGGAGACGTGATTTTCTACCGAATATGTAAAAGAATGAATATTTTTATGTATGTTTTCCATGAAATATAATTGAATATTCAAGGGCATCGAAAATCAACGAGAAAATTGCATGCTACTTAAGTAGTCATTTTTGCAGAGTATAGATCTTGTATGCAGCCGAAAAGCCGATACCCTGAGGTAACTGTATCATTATAGATTTATGCTGGATCATTATAAGTTTTACAACACTAGGTAGGACAATTGTGTGTAGCCTGGACTGTGCAAGGCGAAGGAGGGGTTCCTGTCTTACGGGATCGGTGGGAAGGGGGGGGGGTTTTAGGGTGGGGTAAACGGGGAACCCATCAAAGAGTTAGAAAAAAAAGTAAAAAAAAGAGGTTTAGAAAGAAAATAATAAAGTTTGTTTGATGTGAAAATGTGCCGAAAATTCAAAACCGAAGCCGTAACCAATGGGAGCAATATACTGAAGGCCACGGCCATTCGGCCGAAGGTGCCCCATACAATACTGCCACTAAGGATGAATCCTGGTCAAAAGCCAACGACAGGTAGGGCGGTGGAAAATGAACCCGAAGAACGGGAAGTATGAATGCAAAATACGGAGTACGGAAGCCGTATTTATTAATTTGTTCAATAATTACCAAACTTCTTCTGCTTTGCAGTATGTCTCACAATCATATGATCATCTGTTTTTGCATAAAAATGTGCAGTTTCTAGAGCGGACAAATTTTAGCCCTAAAGTAGTCCATTATAACGTCCGATAAAATGGATAGCCAAGGCCAAAATTATAAGGTCATTCTTAGCGCGCCGACCGCACTGGAGACATGGGCACTTCAGCTCTGCAAATCCGTTGTTCCTGATGGCTTTTTTTCAGCAGTGGTATTGGTCGAATTGGTCGTATTGGTCGAATTCCTTACTATACCTCTCAACCTTATGGTTGGGTAACTGTTCCAAGCGGGCTGCGGTTGGGTGTGGGGAGGGGAAGTGAGCCGTACGGCAGGCAAAGAAAACAAACGGCAAGCGGCCTTAGGAGACCGCACAGGAAGCCAGCAACCGGGTTAAACGCCTGTACGGCTAAGCCATGAAGGGCTAGTGCAGCCCCTGAAGTATGTAGAAAGGGCAGGTGCACTAGCGGGGCAGACCTGCACCGATAAAGTGCACACAACGCCTACGCGCCCAGCCAACTCACGCGGTAACCGCATGGAACGCGGTATGGGAGGCCCCCCCCGCCATCGAATACAACGGGGCTGTTTCTAAAAAAGGGGAGGGGTGTAGGGTGGCGATCTGTTAACACGACTGAAGCAGCTAGCAATTAGAAGGATAATGGAAAACGTGTTGAATCGCAATTCGCATAGGCTAAGTCTTTCGCCTTTTGCTAAAGGTTCCCGTGTGGGGGGTGCAATGCAATGAGCCCACATAGACAGTCTTGCAGCGCCTCATTCTCGGGGCGGTTAAAGTGAAGGAGAACTTCATTCTGACAGAGCCTCTACGCCATATCATGCGAACGTAGCTGGAGTACCCAGTCGTAGTAATGTAGCAAGCGCGCTAAGTGGCCGATGAGCGGGAATGTGAACGTGAGCAATAACATGAAGGAATTTACAGCATAACCGCCCTTCCTTCGTCCAATTGGCAGCTGTAATTATATGCGGGTGGTATGGCAATGGCACCACAGCAGAAGACAAGGTATCCCAAAGCGAGGTCGAATACATTACACCCGCGCGGCCGACACGCCTGAAATATGTAACTTAATAAAGGCACGCCTACTGATAAGAAGCAAGTACGTCAACAATGTTGACTCATAATCCCAGGCTACTCAGAATTGTCTCGCCCAACACTACCTAATTTATCTTTTCGAAACGAGAAAGCATTTCGAAATTTTGGTTGACATTTCATGAGTTAGCACATCTACCGTATACAGTTTTCTCTTATTTCTTAAGATTGGTTACTGTCTGTCAACCTTTTCATGGGATGCAGTGCGGTTATTTAAAACGACATTCTATATCTTCAGGCGCCAACCGACTTCTCTACTTCTAAGATCGAACTGCATGCAATGCCTTAATCTCGCATCTCCCAACGCCTATCAGTTGCCCCGTTCTGAGCATTCGTAGAAGGTGGAGAATGGCTGACGTTAGTCAATTTCCTGAACAAAACGACTTGTGAGTGCTATTCACTGGCTTGGCGTCAGTCCATTGGTCGATGGGGACAAGCGTCCCACTGTGAACAGAACTCATAATTTGCGTGAGGTCACTTTTACAGTTTAGAACCGAAGGGACGCCGGCATATGGAGTGCCTCATAGATGCGGAACAACATAATTTTGTGATAAAACCTTACTCAAGCTAACAGTTTACGCCTTGTTTTTCCTCTCCTACTGAAGACCGGACCAATGAACACAAAAACGTCAGAGCATTTCTCAAACTACTAACGACAAGGTAGGAATCAAGTACTGTGTTATATGCACGATTAGAAATCTCTGCCTTTTTCAACGTGACTTAGTTGATCCCATAAAATCAAACTGGTGAGTGTATGAACCGATCGCAACCTCTGCATTCGGACCGTTTGGGCCCTTATATTTTGCGTTGAAATTGCGACATCTCCCACTTGCCACGTTGCAGAGAGTTATACCCACACTCCCGCGGTGGGCTCTGAAATGACTATGCCCACTTGAAAAATGGTCAATGGCCTTTAGGCCGTCACCTCCGCCGAAATTGTGCAACAGAAGATGAGATCGCACTTCCGGTGCGCATGGAAGCGCGTCATTAAGCTGGACGAGTTGAACCAATTTAGGCAACCATCGGTGGCGAAAATCGAGAAAATTTACCTGCATGCTAGCCTGTTCAGATCAGTTTATTCGAGGAAAACGTAGGTGTTTCAGCTTCCAACTCCCCATTTGTTGCGAGGAGGAGAAGTATATCAAAAAGTCGGAAAAGTTGTCGCAACTGCACAGACAAACGAATTATTCCAAACGTTAGAAACACTGGGACTACTAAGTACGTTGCACAGTGGTAGGTCCATGAGTAGATGCGCTATGGAATATCTGGTATGATTTCAAGTATCAGCAAATACCAAAGCGAGCGTCAGTATCCTCGTGCAATGAATTTGGAATAATAAAATTGAAAATTCAACAAGTGTTACTGAAATACAGACAGTACTATCATAACAGTAATACATCGTTCGAACAGAGTGTTAGGACGGTATCATTCGGGTGGCATTATGATGTGCAGTGGTATACTGATCCACCTTGTGCTTAAAAGCCTCGACAGCTGTTGAAATAACGATATCCACGGATAGAACATTTCAAATTTCAACCACTGTATTGGAGAAGAAGAAGAACTTCCGTGTGTCCGCCCTGGCGCCAGTCACACGTACTTTGAGTGGATGATCTCGGAGGCTCCTTGCGGTTGATAACTAGAAGAAGTCCTCCGGTGAAAGACAACAGTCCTGACCGCGTATAATACGGAATTGTCGTTTTTTTACTTCCTCCAGAAAGTGTCTACGAACTTGAAGTGGATCAGTTTATTCAAGGTCTATAGGCTCAGACCGAGAATTTTATGTATAAATATTCAGGCCGAAGTCCATCAGCCACAGCGGATAACCGCGTAATATTCATTAAATGCGGACAGGCAGCTAGTAGTATACTCTAGGGTAAGGTGATACCATAGTAACGACACAGGTATCAGCCAAAAGCCCATACACGCGTGTTTCTCCGATATTCTGCCGCTGCATGGCGCATCTGCGAGGGTTTACGCTCCTCAGTGGATCTCCCCGACATTCGCCGTCTGTCTTCTGGTAGATAGTCCAA